CGAGGCAGTATTACTATGGAAGTAGGATTGCCCAACCTTCCTTCCGAGGAGTGGCTGGTGGGTTTGAACCGCCAGCCTTCTGGTTAGCAGTCAAGTGCCTCAGGCACTAGCACAGTGTTTAGTACTTAGTAAGTACTCAAATTTTCATTATTATTATTAATTTAATTTAAATATGCTAGCATCTGTCTTTCAAAATGTTTACCATAGATGTTTTTTCTCTTTTAGCCAAATGATTTCTCAGTATCACTAAAAGCACAAGGGAAAAACAAGCATTTTAAAGTCCAACTGAAAGAGACTGTCTACTGCATTGGGCAGCGTAAATTCAGCACCATGGAAGAACTTGTAGAACATTACAAAAAGGCACCAATTTTTACAAGTGAACAAGGAGAAAAATTATATCTTGTAAAGCATTTATCATGATACTGCTGACCAGAAGTGACTGCTGCACAGCTTTAATTTGTCATATAATTGAAGACTCAGAAAATGTCTTTCCAATCATGCTTGATTGGATGTTACTGTTTCTAACTCTATATGAAAATTGACTAAAGTACATACATATTTTTATTATAACTCAGCACATACATATATACTTTGTATGCAGAGCATCTGCATAAAGCAGTTGCTTAATTCTTAGTCTACTTAATTGTTTTGCTGTTTTTCTCTTTACTTCTAATAGTAACCTTTTATATTTTGAAAAAAATCAAATAATACAGATCATAAGTCTTTACATGGAAGAATTTCTTCATTGCCTTTCCTTTATTACCTTGCAAGGGCACCCTATTAATTGGGTTTCCTACCATGGTTTTCCTTCATACAAAATTCTTATATCTATATATGACATATGCTAAAATAAAAATCTTGGAGAGTGTTAATCTTTACTGTGACTGAATAGCAATAATAAATGGCAAAGTAGAATTATTTCCAGGCATTGTATTTATCACAGGTCATTGTAAATACCCAATATGTCATGTCTGCCATTATTTTAAAAATTCATTCATTGTCTTCAGTGTGAAGTAAAACAGATTGGATGGAGATTGGAAAACATCTTGTACAATATTAATAGCTATTAGAAACAAAATCACTGTCTTAAGAATATTTTTGGTGCTTCTCTCTCATCTGACTATTCAAGAGAACAAAGCAGTCTCTGTGAGATACTTCGCTTTTCAAACTACAAATGGATGCTGTAATTTGTGTGTGTGTGTGTGTGTGTGTGTGTGTTTTCCTAGTGTTATTCTACCAAAGCATCTTATATTAGGACATGTTATGTTTGTGCCAATGTGAAATAAACTATGGCCAAGTTTAGAGGAAATAGGAGGCAATGATATACTTGTTATTTTTAAATATCTTTAAATGTTGGGCCTAGTATTTTCTATTTTCATGTTCTCCTTTCAGTTTTCAAATTTGTTGGCTAGGACACTAAAATTGATGTATTTTTTTCAAATACTCAATACTTGAGGGAAAAATGAGATGTTCTTATAGTTAGTGAAAATTATATTATTTTTTAAATCTTTTTTTTTTTTTTGCAGGTCCTTCTATTATGTTTTGTTTACCAGACAAGATTTTGAGTGTATGAATGAGAGGCTACTGTAAAGTATTGAATCCATTTCTGTTAGTCACAGACAAAAACTCCTATTTTATGCTCACAGCTCACTTTTTCCCTCATGATAAAATTCAATTCTCGAGATTTAAATTTAAGCAAAGTAACATTCATTTTTTTTATGGAAAATACTTATTAAAACCATAAAATTTAATAAACAGTAGGAAGTCATAAGATCTTTTCAAAAATTTTCCCAATGTTGTCTATGCATATGAATGTTTCTGTTCTTTATATGTTACAAAAAATTAAATACAGCAGAATTACTGATGTTGAAATTGAAGTTGTGTAATTCATGAGGTTTTTGGCTTTGTGTTTTTCATCATTAAATATGTATTTTTTTATTCTTAAAATCTTTTAAAGATTTATATTGCCACTGGGTGGCAGCCCTGTTTTCTTGCATTTAGCAACAAGTGTCAGCAAATAGAATGAAGACAATGATATACAAATCTTTATCTTCATTATACCTGTTTTTAAAGCTTTTTAGTTCCTATTTCATTATATTTCTAAATCAGGGCCACTTTGTCTTTCAAATAAATTAATTAATGGGTAAGTTAATGGAAATAAAAGTCATGTATGCTTACCTTTTTTTAAGCTGTGAATTCACATGAATATAAATTGAAGCAGGTTTTAAAAGTGATTGTAAAGGACTAGGTGGTAAACATCTTTATTCAACTTTTAACAAATTTTGATGATGATTGTTTTTGCCTATCTCCTACCCCACTCCCCATTTTCCTTATGAAGAAAAAACAGCAACTAATACTTTGTATCACAGACATGAGCTGTTTATGTTTATAGCAAACCCCACTGAGCTAATGTTAATAGAGCATGATTTTGAGAAAGTAGCTAGGAATGGTGTGCCACTGGAAGCTGAATGCATATTTCTGTGCTATAATTAGATTTATAGCTAAAGAATTCCCAGATAGTCCATGTGTGACAGTAGCTATTGTGTGCTCTTACAGAATGAAAACTTTACTGGGAACTTTTTAATTTTGTACTTCTGCAACATTTTATCAGCTTTTAAAAATCTTAAATCAGTTCTTACACCAGTGGCTATTTTTACAAACATGAATTTTATTTGAAGATGTTCTAGAACAACCTTAGAAAACATCTGTAATAGATAGGTAATAGCAGGGCTTGGACTTAGAAATCAGGTTTCCTTATTCTCAGCCTGGAGCTCTCTTTATCATGACACTGGAGAGTCCTGGGGAAGAGCAATTTTACTGAAGTTTTCTTCCACATATGAAGAAATGATTAGCTATCAAACACACATACAACCCACTTCTACAAATAACTTCTTCAAAATCTTGTAAAAAGGTTTTTCATGACCTTAAGGTTAGTAACTAGAAGAAAAGCTACTACTGTATCTCTTACTTGGTCATAAAACCTTAGGGTTTAGCTGAATATGTATTCACACACACATATCACTAAGCACAGTGACGTGTATGTACTTAGCACTATTAAAGACAGTGTTTCACAGATAATATCATTAAATAAAATGGGAAGACTAAGTACAATCCATTGCCATTACTGGAAGAATTAAAGACCTAGCAGATGAGCAGCTTGGGTGGTTAGAGTAAGGTCATCCTTGTAGGCATATGGTATATGAATTATGTTCCGCTTTAAAGCTCCAAGAGCTCTGATGGTGTAGTGCCTTAGGCATTTGACTGCTAACCTCTGAGAAGACTGGTGGTTCAGACCCACCAGCCACTCCTTGGAATCCGACTCCATGGCAAAGGTTTTTTTTTTTTTTTTGGTTTTGGTTTTAAAGCTCTAATTCATTTGGTTCAGAGGTTGCAGAGAAGCATGGCCACCACTGCCCGTTTAGTTAGTACTTTTGGGAATTAGGTAGCTCTGGTAGTGTACCTAAGGCACTTGACTGCTAACCAGAAGGCTGGCAGTTCAAACCTATCAGCCACTCCTCGGAAGGAAGGTTGGACAACCTACTTCCATAGTAATACTGCCTTGGAAGCCCAAGGAGGGGTCACTATGAGTCGGATCCAACTCGATGGCACATAACAACAACAACAGCAGCCCCCTTCTGGGTGAGCAGAGAAATCTGAATCCACCCACCTTCTACCTCCCCACCCCCCGCCATGCTCCAGCCCAATGTCTTGACCAAGCATATTATTCAGGGCATAACCAACAGTTGCCTTGTACAGAAATAGTGTTTGACCCACATAGTGCTTTAAAAAATTTGTTTTTGTTAGCTGTCTTCAAATCGTCTGACTCATGGTGACCTGAGGTAGAACAGACAATGAAATGTTTGGTCCTGCATCATCCTTAAAATTGACATTATGTTCAAGTCCATCTTTGTGGCTATTAGGTCTGTCCATCTCACCAGTGGTCTCCCATGCCTTTGTTAATCCTCTCCATCGATGATGTTCTCCTCCAGTGACTGATCCTTCCTGATGATGTGTCCAAAGCAGGTGAGTTGGTCAGTGTTCTGTTGTGATCCATAAGGCTTTCATTGGCTCATTTTCGGAAGTAGATGGTCAGGCCTTTTAGTCTAGAAAGTCCACTGAAACCTGTCTACTGAGCTGAATATTTGAAATACCGATGGCATAGCTTTAGCATCATGGCAACATTAAAGCCAGCACAGTATTACAAATTGACAGATGGTGGTGCAATTAGTTGTCTAGTCAACATTTTAAAATTGAGAATTTCACATAAAATTCAGAGTTCTGGTTGCCCTTGAAAAGTGAGAAGCTGACAATACTGGAGTTAATTCCTACAACATGATACTCAGCTGGATATTCCCTTTATTTTCAATTTTTGTGATTTGGGTGAAAATTCCCAGAACAGATTTATTCTCCATACAACAATTGATACACATTTTGTTTCATGACACTGACTGCAATTCCCCACAGTGTAACAGCTCTTTTCCCACTTGCTTCCTGTAGTCACCTCTTCCCTGTGTCCTTTCCTATATATTCCTGCCCCTTGAGTTATCTCCCTGAACAAATACTGCTCTTCTGTTCTCCCATGACTGATCATTCTGAGGAGTCTATCTATATGGTGTAAATGTTCACCCTATATGCCTGTCTGTAGTTTGGCTGGAAGCTATGAGAGAGATTTCAATTCCAGGCATGAAAGATAACTAGGGGCCATAGTCTTGGGGTTCTGAAAAGGCTCCATCAGACTGGTGAACCTGGTCTTTATCATTTTGAGTTTTGTTCCACGTTGTTCTCCCACTCTGATAGTCCCTATATTTTTATCAGTGCACATGTGAAAAAAACTAAAGCAGTATAAAAAAAGTCTCCCAATCTGTACCCCTCTAGTTTACATATCCAAAAGCAGCCATTGTTATGCCCAACTTTCCCTGTAACAGACATGTTTGGGATCTGGAGAAACTCCCCCCACCACTTTTATTGTGAAAACATACACAACGACGTTTGCCAACATAACAACTTCCACATTTACAGCTCAGGGACATTGATGATATTTTCTATGTTGTGTCACCATTACTGCTATCCTTTTCCAAAATATTCCACCTCCATTATTGTAAACTCAGTGCCCTGAAAACAAAGGCTTCACCTTTACCCCTCCCTCCTATCCCTGGTTACCAGTAATAATCTTTGTTTTCTCTCTATATTTTTTATTTCAACCTATCTAGGAATTTAGCCTCCCCTCCCCTCCTATCCCTGATAACCAACAAAGAATGTTTCCTTCTGTGTATAAACTTTTTTTTTCCTTGACTTTTTTTTTTTACTATAGTAGACTATTACAGTAGTATTCTGTGACTGATTTATTTAACTCAACTTAATGTCCTCCAAGTTCATCCACGTTATGTGGCATTTTGCAGATTCTACATTATTCTTTAGGGTTGCCTAGTATTCCATTCTGTGTATGTACCACAGTTTGTTTATCCATTCCATGGTTGATGGACATAGAGGTTGTTTCCATCTTTCTGCTATTGTGAATAGTGCTGCAAAGAACATGGGTGTGCATATATCTGTTTGTGTCCTGCCTTACACTTTTTTAGGATTTGTACCTAGTAATGGGATTGCTGGATCAACTGATACTTCTATTTCCAACTTTTTAAGTAATCGCCACAGTGGCTGTATCATTTTACAGCCCCACCAGCAGTGTATAAAAGTCCTAGTATCTCCCATCCTCGCCAGCATTTGTTATTTTCTGTCTTGTTGAACTTTGCCATTAGTGCTGGGGTGAGATGGTATCTCATGGTTGTTTTGATTTGCGTCTCTTTAATGGCCACTCCTCAGAAGGAAGGTTGGGCAACCCTACTTCCGTAGTGATACTGCCTCGGAAACCCAAGGAGGGGTCGCTATGAGTCGGGGCCGACTCGACGGCACATAACAACACAACAACAACAATGGCTAATGATCGTGAACATTTCATGTGTTCATTTACTGCCTGAATATCTTCTTCAGTGAAGCACCTGTTCATATCTTCTGCCCATTTTTTAATTGCATTGCTTGTCTTTTTGATGTTAACGTATTGGAG